TTAATTAGCTAACAGAAAAATTTAGTCACAGTTGTTTGGTTTGCAAGAAGATAAAACACCAAAGTTCATGTACACAAATTGGCATGATACGCTTTACGTTGAAAGAAATGTAAATATTCTTGTGCTCAACACTTTGTGATATCTGCATTTTTAGTAAAAGAAAATCTTACTGAAATAACAACAAAAGGGAAACTGACCGTTTACTCAAGCAAAGAAGATGCGGGATCCCGGCGAGTGCTGGGAACCTTGGTGGGATCCCAGTACCTATTTCACAAGGGATAATTCCAAAAACCATATCTGAATGTAAAAAATTAAAAAATATGTTGTTCCTTGTCAAATTAAACCTAGAATTCTTGAGTAAAGGATGATTTCCAGTCTGTACTGTGCAGTCTCGGTACCCCAATGTTTGTAAGTCTCACTGGATGGAATGTGCAGTATCAGAAAATATCCATACTCCCCCCACAGAAGGGATTGGAACTTCCTGGGGGGTGGGGGGTTCTCTAAGACCAAAACATTTAAAGAAATGTATCAAGTTTAATTGGAATTTTCAGAGGGGTGGGGGGAGGGGTCTTGGAAAAAATCCCTTCTGTGGGGGAGGTATGGATATTTTCTGGAACTACACAATGTGAATTGATGTTACTGGTTATGAACCGCTTACCTTATGGGTTAGGGTTAGGGTTTTATTTTAAATTCTTTTTCCAACAGTGACTTTGATTTTACAGCTACAAAGTGTTTTCATCTATTTATATCACAAAGAACAAAGCATAAAGCTTTGCACCCATAATGGCAGTTGACATGAAACTTTGAATTTACTTCATGTGAATAGTTGCAAAATATTACATTCTGTGACGTCTCAAATGAATCAAAACAAACATGTAGACTTGCGCAGTACCAGGTGGAAATCATCTTAAAAGTGCCTTACTGTGTAAGTTTAATGTCCCTGTGTTCCCTGAGCCACCTTTCAACTGGTGCCAGGAAATCAGACATTAAAATCACACAAGGGGAGCATATTAATTAAGGTACATGTACTTTGCACATAAGTAAGGCACTAACTTTTATTTATTAATAATTATTTTCAACATGTAGCTTCTTGAACAATTTTTGTGATCATGCACATAGCCTGCCTTGGATTTCCAGTGCAAAAACTGGTGACACAAGTCCTTTTAAACTGCAACAAGTAACTTGAGAGTATATGTCTGGACATCACCTCTCTGTGAGTTAACTCACCCACCCCAAGGTCAAGGCAACCACTCCATTGTTTTAAAGATATATCCTGTCTTCTGTTATGCAATGTATGCTTGTAACAAATGAGGGCTATTGGAATGCCATCCATTCTATAATTTAGTGTAGGTAAATTCACTTCACCATGTCTAAGTTAACCAATGGGTAAAGCAATCAATCAGTTATCCAGTGTGCTGCTCAAGTTTGACAGCAAACTAAATACACTACAAAAAGAAAGCTACATTGAGCATTTTCCTTACTAAACATAATTTGAAGAACATGACTGTAAACATTTATGTAGCATAAGTGTTTGGAAAGTGTATGGTTTTGCCCTCAGTAAATTACCTGTTTCTCCAGGATATACAGCTTAGTTCATTTGCTCATTTTCAGATAAATCTTTGGATTTTTCCTGAGGGAACCAGAAGCCAAACAGGAACACTTCTTCCCTTTAAGAGAGGAGCATTTCACTTAGCCCAGCAAGCTCAGGTGAAGACTACATGTTAAGTCTTATTTGACTTGTTATTTCCTCCAGCTCCAAGCATCAGTTTGAAAACTTGACAAAACACTTCATAGTGAGCTCTTATCTCAGTACACCTTGTTATTTTAGCCAATGTTTTTGGCTTGGAGAAAAGGCTAACTAGAAAAGATAGTCATTTTCATACTTTGATGACAATTTTATGACCCAAAGGTAGTCGTGTTAGCAAGGTTCGACTGTTCTTTTGTTTGCCATACACTCTTCAATGTAAAGGTCTCGTGCTAGAGTGGTAATCAAAAACAATAGGGGATATCATTACTCTTATCAACTCTACTTTGAGACAATAGTAAATTTTTGTGCTGATCATGTAAACCAAATGTTTGAGACTTAAAGTCTCAAAATTGCCTCCCTGTATCAATACACTGCGGTATTTATTAGAGAACAAAATTAAGCTACGCAGTGTAAATGAAAAAAATTAGGAAAATGCTTAACTTTGTATACCTTTGCACGTGTTTTGTTTAGCTCCCTATTGTGCCAATTGTTATCTATGATTATTCTTCAATTTTTAACAAGAAGAACAAGTTATTTGAATATGGTAAGTTTCTTTTTAGTTTTTCCTTAAATTATTGGTAGATAGGTAAAGTCCGCACACCCCTGCATCTTGACTTGCACCTTCTTATTCAATTCACTTCCTACTATTTTGCTCCTGCCTCTCCATGCTTGTTCTCTTGCTTTAACATTATGCAATGCTGTAAAATTTCCCAACTTCACCCTCCTATCCTCTTTTCTTCTTCCTTTTGACTCCTTTTATCCCCACCCTTACAGTGCGTCTCTTTACCCAGGTGTATTAAATCAGTATCACACACCTTAGAAAATGCCAGGCTGGTCAGGAGTAATCTGATTAAATGCTTGGACCAGGAAGTTGCGGAAAACAGTACAGAGTCCAGGAAGAGTTTCAATGTTATTAACCAGAGTAGTGACAGTATGGGTCTTGGGTTGAAATAGATATTTGGTAATCCAAAAGGATCAGTGGCTGTGGGGCACAGTAAACAGTTCAAACGTTATCAATAGTAATTCAGTGCCAAAATAAACTCAATTTTATGGCAGACGTTTCGGGCCTAGGTGTAGCCCATCCTCAGTGCTAAGTTTGGTTTTGAATGGGACACATCAGTGAAGAAATAAACAGTTGTACGCGTGATTCTAATGGGTAGGTAAAAGTGTGCATGCGTCAAGCTGGGTCTTGGGTTCCTTGTCAAGACATTATCCTTTGCTGACCTTTTATAACTTCCCATCTGGTAGGAACCATGAAAGCGAGAGTATTGTCCCCCATACCAACTGAGGGTGTCACAGCTGATGGTGTTCCAGAACTTACAGAAACTGTGCGCCAACAAATGATCAAAGTTTTCCAGGAAGGTGATCCTTCAAAAAGTCTCAAGGATACAGTTTCAACTGTGGACAAAAAGATTAAGTGATACTGCCATCAAAGTAGACTTAACAAAATGTTAAAAAATGATACCTTGTTTTATCAGTTGAAAGTATTTAATTAATATTATTATTTTCCTGTAATTATTGAATTGCACAATTTGTACAGAAATAAGTTTGATCAAAAAGGGCAAAAATCAAGTTTACTTATTTCTTTTTAAGAATATATACATCTAAAGCTTTTATTATCTTATTAGCCAAGTGTGAGAGCCAACCTTGAAAAATATACAGTGAAAACCCCTTATTCCAGTCACCAACAAGCCCCAAAAATCTGGCCATGTGAAAGGGGTTTTTTAGATAAGAAAAAGAGTCTCTGAGCTTTGTTCAGCCCAGAATAAAGTGGCCGTAATAATGAGGTGGCCTTATTAATGGGTGGCTGTAAGGTGGGGTTCCACTGTATTCCCAAGGTCTTGGCAGAATTGTCAATACTGATGAAGCTGATATTCTCCCAGTGCAGTATTTGAATCAAAATTTTCAGAAATAATCCCATGATCCAAGACAGGAAACTAAGACACTGTGAACAGCAATGGTTTTTTTGTTTGCTTGTTTTTTGAAAGAAAACCTGCAAAAACAAAGTTTGGAGAGAAAGAAAAGGAAAGGGATTTTTTACATGACGGTTAATATTCAGAACAGTGCCAGGTCCAATAGTTGGACAATATAGGACCAACAGAGTAGAAGAGCAACCTGATTTGTTGATTTTGATCATTGGTTCTCTAAACTTAGTCGTGTAATTACTGTTGTTGTGGGAAGTTAATCCCTATTAAGCCCCAGGGTAAACGTGCAATTTTTCCTCACTGAATTCTAACATTTGTTTAAAATTTCTTTTAATGGAAGAAAAGTTTGATTCAGGTTTTGGGGGCTTTCTAAGTAGTGAATCTGGTAACATATAAGAATTATGTTTGGAAATCAATATTTTGATCAGAATGAGTTATAAAATGTATTATAAGGTTAATGAATTAACACTCGTTCTTATAAGCCTGGAAAACCTGTGACATAATAGCCGATCGCAGTTACTAGCATTCGGCAATCTGTTCCAGTCAAGCCTCCAGTGCACCTGTAATGGGTCACCAAGGTACTCAAATAGGTGTGCAAACGATTAATTAAGAATGCAAGGAACTGTGGGAAAATCAAGCTGGTACGTCATAAATTTTATATCTGTCCACTGTTGATTCTGCTCTCATAAGACATTTTGATCATGGCCAACCCCGGGGGACAACCACCAGCATGCTGACGAAGTCAAACCCAACTTCACTTTGTAGGCATACCAGCTGTCAGTACCCGAGGTCTACAGATTGCGATGCCAGTGATAAAGTGATTTTCCATGTGCATTTCCAGGTCTTGCCAAAGACTATGTCCCAGGCTTGTCAGTGGCATACTACAACCAGAGATTAAGAGCCTTCAATTTAATAATAATCAGTTAAAATTTTATTTCTCTTGTTTTGCAACAACAAAACACTGGTATCCAGAGTTTGAAGTTGTTACCGCATACAAGAGCTATTACTTTGAACTATTTTTATATTTTAACGTTTTTAAATATGATGTTCCATTTTAATGTTATTTATTGATGAAAAAATTAGCAAGAGATATTGTATTTTATTTTATTCTTGTGTTTTTAGACTTTGCCTAATGTATCTCTACGGGCTTTCACTTTGCATTATTTTGTTTTCATCACCAGGATGACCATGTGACACAAAACATAAAACAAATTATAATTAGATAGTGTTGATGTGCTGTTTTTGGCAAATATTCGTGGACGTGCTTGAAGGGTTTTTTTTTTATCAAAAAGTTGCTATACCACTATGCATTACTTTTATGACATGTTAAACAACTGACTACCGGTTGCGACCACCTCTCGTAAGCGACCGCCTCTTACCAGCGAGCAGTTTTCCAAGAAACCAAAAGTTTCCAAGTCAAATCACTATATTTGGAACCTCTTGTAAGCGACCACCTCTCGTAAGCAACCGCGACCACTTTTAGAGCTAAAAGTTTGAAATTTTCTTTTGTTTTAAACCTCCCATAAGCGACCACTTGACAGATAATAGAGCGGAAATTAGATAATAAGGTGCTGTAACATCGTATTCCTGGCTACTACAAGACAAGGAAGTTTCACAGTGAGAAGAACCAAGAGAAAAATCATTTTCTCTTGGAAGGACCGATTTTTTTCTCTCGAAATTGACTTTTACATCAACAAAACATTGCATCGGCATTGGTGTATTGGCTGAGACTCGGCAGTTACCATATTCTAATGAGGAACAATTTTCACCCAATATGATCTAAACTCTCGTAAGCGACCACCTAGGCTTGACATTTTGGGTAGTCGCTTACGGAAGGTTCGACTGTATTATATCATTCACCTAACGTTCAATATTAGACAACTTTTAACTAAATGAGAGTCTTTACTAAAACTGCTTTATCGATTGGAAAATAACTTGCAGACTGGTTTAAGTAATGGCTGAAGCTCTCTTACCAGCTAATTGTCACAACGTTTTTTATTTAAACAAGATTTTTATAAGAATGTTCATAGAGAGTGCTTATGCCGTTTATGCTTTTTAAAAACTTTAAGAACAAATCATGGTCAGAGAAAAAGGAAACGATAACTTATAATAACAAGCACAAAAAAGAAAGTTATGAAAAACAGTTTGATTGGGAGATAAAAGACTGAACAGAATAAAACAAGTTTCCATTAAATTGGAAGTCGATTCTACGAACTCCATTTAGAAGCCAGTCAATTTTTCCCATATGAGATGCGGAAAGCCACCTATCTCCCAACAAGTGTGCAGCGAAGGCAAACAGTGATTCATGCAGAGGGCAAAGATTTTGGCCGTAGAAATTATAGTATTTTTTGTAACAATTCTTGCTGGCCTTGACAGAATGGCACTGACAATACCATAGCAATACCATGACAATATCATGGCAGTGGTATGACCTTTTAAAACACCCTTAAGTTTAGTCTTAAGTGCTTTCAACTGAAGGACAAGGTCGGTGACCCCCATTTTGTCATGAAATTTATTGTAATCAGTATGTCAAGATTCCACTTTTCAAAGTTCAAATTTGTGTTACTAGGGAATTCAGAGCCACCATTAATTTTCCAAAAACTAAATTGGCCCTGAACTACCTTCCCCATTTTTTTTTAACTGAGCAAAAGTTTTGAAATGGTTTTCCTGGAGATGATTGTGAGTCATCTTAGCAGGAGTCTTTGCCTTGATTAGTTAATAAAAGCATCTTTTCTTGACTAGTATGAGTGCGTTAACTCTGTTTAGTGATTAAACTCGCCTTCAATTTTCAAGCTTGGTTTGCTTTCAGTTCCAATCACCTTTTCTCCCGGTAGAACAAGGTGTAGTTAAGGTATTGTGCCTGGTACCCCCAACCCTTTGACATTTTCTATCGGTCATTGCTGGAGACTACAATACAATGGACTGATTTCCAGTTTCCGCATCTTCGTCGCTCTTATCATCAAGAAGTAGCAATGCTTTTTCCAAGAGCTCAGAACCCTTGGTATTTTGTGGTTTAAGCATGCTCTTTGCAAAAATCACTGCATCTAATTTGAAGAACGTCATATCTTTGATCAGGTCATCCTGCTTTGATTCGTTGGTTGAGGCGCTCTCCTCGAAATTTGTTTTCAGTGACTCCTTAAACGTTCTTAGCCAAGTGGCAACAGCACCCTTTTGGTTGGATGGCATGAACTCTTTCGAGCTTAACACTTGAACCAAGAGATTAATACACTGCCACGACAGTTCTCGCTCTGAACACGGAATGCTCGGAATTTTCTCAAGAATGGACTTCACTGCATTTTGAAGGACGCTAGACAGTTGGTGTTCATCAGCCTCTGCATGTTGCAGAATGAGCAAACAAAACAGAACCAAGCTCGGGGTTACAACGTTAACATTGAGCTCACATAACTGTGATTCCAGAACGATTTTGTTCCATGGATTAGTTGCGAAGTAGCTGGCGTTTGGAACGTAGGTTAGGAAGCTGTCCAAGCACTTCACTGCACATTGCCTTACAGTCTCACTGTCATGGATTAAGGAGTTCTGCAGGTAAACAAGCAATACGTGGAGATCCACATCGGATAGCTTCTCAAGGGGCTGATACTTCTCCTGGGTCCTAACTGACAACACCACGACAGGGTTTTCTGATTCACCTGTTGTTCTAAAGAAGGAATCCCAGAAAACAAGACTTGAAAGTCCCAAAATGTTTTGCCGTTTATTGGCGAGTTTCATCATGCAGTTCTTGTCAATTCTGAATGCATCTTGGTCGTCTTTCTGAGCCAGCATCTGGGAGTTTGCAAGGGACGAGATGAGAATCAAGATACTCGCTAGTAAATTGATATCCTCCAGGGAATCCCTCCGCTCTCCATCATCTTTGGCTGGGCTGGCATTCAGAATCTCTTGGACAAAGCTACAGAACCCTTTGTTGGAAAGAAGCACTGCAGCAACCCTCTGGTTTTCTCTGTGTGTGTCCCAAGCTAACGACACGTTCAGGTAATTGAAGGCGACGACTGAGAATGTTTGACAACATTTGGTTGATGTCAACAAGTTAATGACATGGTACAAAAGCTTGATGTCAAATGCCAGGTTCTTCATTTGGACAGCCACCATCACATTCAGCATGGCAGTAATTGAGTGCTCCTGAAGAGGATTAGCCTTGTGGCTCAGGAAAAGCTTGTGAAAAATACTTGTTATATGAGTTGCCAGTGACCTTTGATTGGACATGCTTAGCTTTGTTGAAGCGTCTGAATCTTGGCCGATCAATCTTTCCAGGATGGTCACTACACGATTGGCGATAGCTTCCTCGTTACATTCAACGAGCGAGACAAACGTGCGAAAGCTTTGTAAGTTAGTTGCTAGAAGATTGTAGAGTTCTGCGTTAATGGGAGAGTCCTGTGCTGTGTCTGTTCCTAGAAAGCTGATCAAAGCCTGTCGTCCAAAGGCTTGTGCCAGAGATTCACGAGAAAATATCCAGGAAACGAAGAGAGGGTCATGAATGTAAATGGATTCAAACTCATCTACTTTGAACTTCACCAAACTTTGCTCTAGAATCTCTTGGGAAGCTTTCATGTTTTCGACGACGGTAGATTGCAGTGGTAATGTCCTTAGCCTTCTGTAACATCCCGTCCAGAGAAACAACAAATGTTTCAGTGAGACGCGAGGCACGATTCTGAGATCTTGATGCAAGACAAGATACTTGTGTAGACTTGTCATAAGGTGCTCAACAGGAACTATCTCGTCACCGTGAGCAAACGACACATACATCAGCTCAATACAAGCGCATTGTGTGCTGAAGAGTGAGTCGTCGATGATCTCATTAGTACCTTGCCTTACTGCACTTTGGGTCAGCAAGTTCAAGCACGTTGTTGAGGAATAAATACCACCAATGTCAGTTGTCTTCAACAATTTTCCAAGCTGAATGCTGTCAGAGGCATCACTGAGTGTAAGACAAAGTTCTGTCAAGAATGTTGCTATTGCATCTCCAAGCTCACTGCTCTCTGCTCTTCTATGGAATTTTTCTTTGATCTCAAGCGACAGTCGAACAAACGACCCTGAGGCAAGCTTTTGGGCAAAAACCTTCCTGCAGATACTCAGCGAAGACACGGAGAGATGTAGGATCTCAAAAACGTTCTTAAACACAGTTTGGTTCTCAATAGCCTCACAGTTCACCACTAAGGCTGGAACGCATGTTTGATCAATGACTTTCCACAACGACTCCACAAACTGGCCTAGCACTTCTTTCTCTTTTGAAATTGATGCTTCATTCTGTATTAGCAGGGCTGTATAGGATGGTTTGCGATCTTGGTAATCTTGAACAAACTGGAAACTCTTCTTGAGTACCTCTAATAGAGTGCACAGAAATGTCTCGAGTGCCCCTAAATAGTTAAAAGAATTTATAATTGTGAAAAGTAGTTTTGAACATTAAAGCATCCTTCTTTCCGCTCTATCCCACTAGTTCTCCTGTCTCATTTAACTACATGCATGCCCCGTATTGCCGTTTATATTGCAAAACTGAAGTAAGTCAGATAACTCCCACCTATGCAAAATACTCTCAGTGACCCAGGCTACACGCTGGCAGTTAACATTCGTAACGGGATGGGTGTAGTAATTCTAACAAGACTTAATAGTTATGTAAGAAATTCAGTTAAGTTCATAATATTAAAGGAAGAAAAATGCCAAGATTAGATTGCTGGGAAAGGAATATGGGAAACTAAAAATAAATCAAAAATGCAAAAAGGTCGAAAAGTTGGTCAATGGGAATGTATTTGTTCTGTCACCCCACTGCCATTCTTCTGAAACTTTTATGGTTAAAATTAAAGACAGTGTGTTGGCATGACAATCTTCAAGGTTGCATGTGGTGCGTATAGCTTACCTTTGGGAATATTTCTAAAATGTATCATTGGCTTGGTGAACTTCTGTAAATGTGATGTAATGCTTGACACAAGAGAAATAACAGCTTCAAACTCCATTGATGGGGGAAAGAAGTCGATGTTCAGAAAATGTTCCACTGCATTCGCTGCCTGAGTCAGCACCCTGTGGTCTGCAGACTGCAGACACTCGAACAGCACGCCAGCACACTTCTTCCAGAGCTCATCATTTGGAAAGAGCTGGACGTTAGAGGGTTGCTTTGATAAAATCAGTGCTAACACATGAGTGGCTTGCCTGATTATTTCGTGGTTCTTGAGCTTGATGGCTTTCGATACACCAACGATTACTGACTCTATACCGTACACGGAGTAGCCTTCGGAGTAAAAGATTTGAGTTCTAACCATATGATCTAAACAACAGAACACTGACCCCAGAATTATGTCACTGGAGCATTCCAAGTCTTCAAGTAACATCTCTCCAATTCCGCAAGTCAGGAAGACTCTAGTGTAATCATTCTCCACTGGGTCATTTCTTAATATCTGAGTGATACATTGTATAGTTCCGATCTGGATTGCTTCGTTTGGTGACAGCAGCAATTTCTTCAAGCTTTCCACCATTGCGCAGTTGCCCGTGTTTGAGGGCTTCAAAACAGACTTCAGCACGTCTGATTGTCTGGCAAACAGCTTCAAAACTTTAAGGGCGTTTATTTGAACATCCATGCCGATTGAGCAGTTGATAACGGCGCATGTTTGCTTACATATCTTCTCTTTGATCTGCAAACTCAACCCGTTCAACGCCTCCTCGTTCGAGCAAATCTGCACGAGGACGAAAAGAAAAGCTGCTTTGACATTATCTTCCGGAAACAGAAGGTTGGAAAGCAAATATTCCATCAAACTGGACGAATCTTTAGCGATTACTTGAGATAAAGCCGGAATTGATTTTAGAAATCTCCCCAAGGCCACAACAAAAGGATAGGATTTCTTCAAGTTATTCAATTTGATTATTTGGTTCTCCAACTTTTCCACAATTTCTGCAACCAGGCTTTCTGATCGTAGTTTGACCGTTACGATGTCAAGAGCTTCGATTGCCGTGTTCATCAGAAGTTCGTTCTCTGAGGTCAACAGATCCATTATTACACTGCAGAGGTGGGAGGTGATTCTCGCATTTTGGGAAAGAAGTTCCAAGAGAACTTGGCTGTTCGAGAGAAGAAAGACAACCTCACGAAGGGCCTTGCGTTTTCGAAGGTGGAGAACATCAGCATTTTCCAAAAGCTCTACCAAACACGCTACGCAAACTACTGAAACGTTTGCCCCTGTCATTCTCCATTGAGAATCGTGTTTTGAGTGATTTTTGGTGAAGAAACTCAGTGAGTTTTCGGCTGGCTTCATCTTTGTAATGACACTTGCAGTATTTCCAGCGAAATTTACGAGCCCACGATCTAATACAATGCGGTAATTGTTTCTGCGCAGGTGCATTTCGTGTTTATTTTGGAGGGAAAATTTCAAAGTAACGGATCGAGCGAAAATCGCTAAACATAATTGTCTTATTGCTCTCCCAAATCTAAACTATTGTGTTGCACTATCATGGCATCTGATGTAATTGTCAGTCTGGATGGAGGTGAGTCGTGTGTACGTGATTAGTACAGCGCAAAAGTAGCAATCGCGGACGAAAACCTACCTCAGCTCAGCTTGCGCTCCCCGGATTGTTTGTGTGGTTTTTCGAGCAAAACAAAACATTTTCTGATCTTGTTTTAGGAACGCAATCTTACTATTAATTGGATTTTCAGAACACCGATAAAACGGACTGGTTACAAAAATGCTTAAAATCGATGGGAATGATAAGGCTTTTTGAGTTCGTCTGAAACGGAAACGTCTAAATCCTGCATAACCATCATTTGGCATTACAGTACATGTAAGCTTAGTTCATTACAGTACAATTATTGTAAATAAGCTTTAACGTAAGACGTTAAGTTAAATATGTTAAAATTGCCGAAAAATGTCTGATTAAGACTTTATACTGCCAGTACAACGATTCTTAGCTTTGCAACACATTTTACGAATATCTTCCATCTTCCAACATTGCTGTATCAAACAGTTAAAGCATTTTGCTCAACAACAGCAAACCAAAATGTTGGCTCAATAAGGCTTGTTGAAAAGCTGTTAACACGGTACACCCTTTGCCTCTAGTCCTTCAATTTACATCACCAGAAACAAAACATTTTAATGTTATACTGTATTGCAGGGAAAAATCCAGTGCTACAGGAAAATGTACCTCCCATTAACACATCATCAGAGAAAAGACTCACAAAGGTATTATTTAGTGACTGAAAATACTACCAGTCTATCAATAAAATACTCATAAAGAAACATATATCTGCATGTTTGCTGATCTTCGTTCATTTGAAGATGCAATATCATGCCTTAAATCACAACTGTGTGGAGGGGCCAGACTAGAAAATATAATTTTGGCTGGCAGTAAGGTCATGGCATACAGACCAAGCTAAAGGACGTCCCTGCAAAATGACCAAGACTGAACAGCTATAAATGTTTTTGCCCTGCCAATTTAAACTCTGTCAGAAAGTACTCTATCATAATTACCATCCATAATAAGCTTGACTTTGTTGGGAAGTTGTAGAAAAAATATTGGTAAACAATGTTGTGGATTGTACTCACCAAATGAATTATTCATTTATTGCAGACTTGTGTGAGGCTGGATGGCCTTTTCTGAACTGTCTCATGTCAAAACCATACAGCCCCACACAGGAATGCATCTGTGACAATATAATAATAACAATATCGTAATAGACTTTTTTTTTCTCTTTCAATGGAAAACAGGTGGAGCAAGCAAGACGTGAGGCACTTTCTGCCTTTGGAAACTGCCCATTTAATTCATTGGTTGTGAAGAGAGACTGTTTTAAGTCAAAACTGAAAGTGACTGCAGCTAAAAGTGCATCCTCAAGAAAAGAGTCAATCAGGAGACCAACTCGGTAAGAGAGCTTTGATCATAGGGTGCAAGGCTTGTAAGAAACTTATATTCCAGCTTGCCCTGGGCAAGTCTTAGTTTACATTCTTTTATTTAGTTGGCAGATGACTTGCCTGGGCCCTTGCCGAGCAGGCAAGTGAGAATGAAAAGTTACTTGCTAGAAAGGAAAATCTACTTGCCCTGGGTGACCAGACAGCACTTTTTTCAAGCCCTGGTTGCAAGGAAAACTGTGTCTGATAGCTTGGGCTAGTGGATTTTACAGTTGGGTTAGTGGATTCTGTCCTTCAATGGGCATGTAAACTTTCTTTGGAAAATTTTTGCAGAAATTTAGACTACAGAAGTCTGGTAGAAGGTGAAATTTTGGGGGGCAGGGGAGAATGACTTTCAGCCTAGTGCATTATAGTTAGAATTTGCCCAAAGGGCAATCCCTATTATTGATATTTGTGCACCTTGGATCAGTAACATAGAACAAATTATTGCTCAAGAATGCGATTGATTTCAGATTAAAGTCAAGCCATTTAAGGTTATTCCCCAGTATTNTCTTACTTCAAGAGGCTACTCAATCAAATCATGTGTCTTCACAGCCACCTTGGCCCTGCTGGCTATGAAGGACACCTGGCTCTGGGAACCAGAATGCTTTTGAGTCTCACTGTGTTTCAGAAATAGAAAGAATGTACCATGTTTCTATCAACAAGTATAGAAATGCAAGTGAAAGTTTGGGAGAATGGGAAATATTGTGGGAACACGAGCTGACATTTGATTGTTTCCACAGCTTTGGCTCATGTTCCCATGCACTTTTTTGGGTTCTCCCAAACTTTCACAAGTGTTTCTATAACTCAACAGAAACACAGAAAACATGTTTTCTATTTCTTTTATAAAATACTACAACAGAAAAAAAGGAAACAACTTGCTTACTTTGATTGTCAAAATGTAAATTCTCTTTTCTTGGGCCATCATTATGTCAACAGCTAGTGCTAGTTCCGTGTTTCTATCAAGTTATAGAATCTGAAACATGCTTTTGAACCAATCAGTGCACGTGTTTGCTTTGGGCTATTTTCTAAAAATGGGTACCAGTGAAGTGAATGTAGGAACTAAGTACTATCCTGATTGGCCACTTAACCCTTTACCCACAATGCACTGACGACAGTTTTAAGCCAATATACTCCCAGATCTTATGAACTTCAAGGTGAAAATAAAATGTGACTTGTGAAATGCAGAGTCTGCAAATTTGTTAATTGCATTTGATTGGGATTATAATAGCCAATCAATAATCCTTCTATTTTTCTCCGTAGAATGGAAAAAGCCAGACAGGAAGCTAATGAAGCATTTAAGAATATTTCCCTTGGCCAGAAGCGAAAAGCTAGTGTCATAGAGAAGAAATCAGAAACACAACCTGAAACACAAAATGCAAAAAAGAGACTTACTAGACTAGAGAGATGTAAACTTGAAGCGCAGCAGGCTTTTGGAAATGCTCCTCTTAGCACGCTTATAGAAGGAAGGGTACAAGAGCAACAACAAAATGGCAAGAGACGAGGAAGACTTGGAGTTGAAGCCAACCTTTCAGGAATCAAGAACGTTGAGACTATCAAAAAGGACACAAAGAAAAGTTTCGGAAGGAGATCCATTGAAAAAAGTGTGAAAGAAAAGAGAAAATCCACCAGTAAGGGCAAACAAAACAGAAGGTCAGCCTCAAGAAGAAGAAGTTCAGCCATAATGCGGCGAAAAAGCTCTACCAAAGGAAGTCGACTAACAAAGGTTCAAGCTTCGCAGTTAGAGGCTCTGAAGAGTTTCGGAGGACAGAGTCTGGAAAATGTTTGGAAGTCCAAGGATAGTCCACCCGCATCTGAGGGCGTGGCAGTGACAGTTGACGACACCTGTCAATCAGTTGAGAAACCGGAAATCCTTGATGATTCGCTGAAGCCAGTTGGCATGGTAACATGTGATAGACATAGTACTTGCCAACAAGAAAGTGGTATTGATGTCGAGATAACCCTGAATGAACACACTGCAGAATTTTCTTCCCAAACAGGTCTCCAGGTAGTTGATGAATCTACTCAGATTAGTGGGTCCAGAGACAGTGAAATGCAAACAGAAGCCTGCGATTCAAACGAAGTAAATGAAATCGCAGATGCTTCAATGCAGAATGCAGCCAATGAAACCCCTCCTGTCGAAACATGTGAAGATCACGTGTACGCACGAGAAAAGCACGTGCGCAGCTTGAGTGGAATGGCCCCTATTCCAGAACAGAGTCCTCCCGAGGCTTCCGCCCGATCCAGTATAACGCCTGTAGAGTCCAAGCCCCTGACGCGCCTGCAGAAAGCTCGACTGGAAGTGTTCCAGAGCTTCAACGGTCAAGCGTTCGAGCACGTCATTAAGACTTCGACTAGGAAAATGGCCAGGTACTTAACGCCAGTAAAACATCAGGGAACCAACACCGAGGTGAATATGACAAGGAATACGCCCTCACAGACAGATGATTCATATTACAAAGGTCACCCGCGTCCCAAAAAATCTGTCTACTCCAACCTTCGAGAAAACAGCTTTTGTGACAGGGGTGCGTTGTTGGAAAGCAGCAAGATAGTGGTTTTCACGGCAAGGTCTCTGGATACGCCTTCTCCAGAGTGTTCACCCGCCAATACGTAGAACCTTGAACAACCCATTAGCGCTGACGGCAACGACATTGTCAACTTCCGATAGCCTCCAGTTATTTTAATTTTTACAAATGTTGAGTTAAGAAAGATAGATTTATTTTGTCCATATGTTATCGAAGATGTTAATGTTTTGTTCATGTTACCTTTGGTTTGAAAACATTTCTTCAACCTATGCCATTAGGAAGCCTTTACGTTTACTACTTTACAGGTTCTTTTTTCATAACTGAACGCTACGGTTTGGCAGACGGCCATACAATAAACGGTTTACGAGGCAGTAAATCGGCCCTGTTCTGTGGCAGCGCAAAAAATATTATTGACTTACTAGTTTGTTTTCTTTATCGCGCGCAAAACACAGCGTTTTTATATTTAATTGATGTCAAGTAATTTCCACTAACGTCGGTTTCAGAAAAAAACTCACAGTCGAGATACCTGGGAAAAGAGTTAAAATGTAGTGCGAAGGGTTAATCAGTGCTTGAAAGCGCCTCTTTGAGATTTCATATTTCTATACATTCCTCTAGAGGCTACTTTCAATCCAAGCCGATTTTTATCTTGACGAATGCTTGTTACAAGTGCATGTATGTCCGATAAATCTGGCAAACAAATAGGCTGCGAACGCAGACGAATTTCCGGCTGTCTGTCTCGTATTTCAGATGTGCTTGCGGGCGAGGAACGCGCTTTCTTTCCCGCGAAAAGCCATTTGAGACGTCAGCAGTGGTTTTCTTGTTTCTTTGGTACAAGCAAAAACTAAGAAAGTTGAAAGTTCACTAAGTATTGTTCGTGCATAGTGGTATAATGGTGATTTTCCCAGCTTTTTTCAGCCGTTTTGATCAGTTACTGATCATTTTCTTAGAGTACTTTGATGTTAACATGAAGATTAAACGCCCAGGTAATAACGGCAAGAAAAAGGTTATAAATAATTCCTATGTTAATAGAGAGTGTAAATAGTTTTATATTAGGATAAGCCAAGGGCTTAGTTATATTTAGTGTTGTGGTTGTAGCGACAAGTGAAACGACAACTGTCTTTTAGAAGAACTTTAAAATGATATTAGTTGTCCTGTCTGAAGTTGCCTTGGAACTCTCGCCTAGTTTATGTGCGCCTAGTTTCGTTGGTTAGAGAGAGAGATTGAGGCGGAGTGAAGATGTGACGGCGTTGAAGTGTTTTGTGCCGCGAGGTCTTAAAATGAGTGAGACTCTTTCGTACAATAGCTCCGTCACTGGTTAGAGTCGCTTGTTTAACAGATAAGGGGTTGTGTTCTGCAGGAAGTATGGCTTTTTTCTTGACCTGAAAAAGTGTGAAATACAGTCACCATTGTTTTGTGCATGCTGCAAGTTTGTTGGTGGGGGCGGGGGTATTTATCAGTTACGTGGGTCTTATTAAACAAGATAGTGGATAGGAAAAGAGTGGCAAGTAGTAAATCTTGCAGTTTACGTGCAAGGTATATACGAACCC